GCGATCCGCGCCTAAGCCAACGGATAGGGAGTGAATGATGTAGGTCCGGGGAACGACGATTAGGTTCCTCGAAAGATTGTTGCCGGTGGGCGATCAGTGGGGTCACCTGTTGGAAAATATTTCAACCGAAAAAAAGCCCATATGCTCGCTTCACATCTGTTCCTGGTGTTCCTGGCCTCCTGGGCACGAATCCCGGGAGCATGAGGGATCCCTTGAACTAACCAATGGCTCCCAGGGATTTGGCATGTGAAATCTAGGAATGCCAGTCGAGATCCCAGGAGTACCTAGGGACACGGGATCACGCCCTGTCTTTCTAGGAACTTGCAAAGAAACCCATGATACCCTTAGTATTTCCATAGCATTGTGACGCAATATGGGTTCTAAAGTTGTACAGTTACGCCAGATGGCCAAAGAGGCATAATAATCGGTTAACAACCAGGTCCAACTGCGGCACTTTAGCGTTGCGTCCCCGGGCCGTGGTTAAGTGTCATCGACGCGGATCGGTTCTGGGTGTCACGGAGTCTCTAGGAAGCATGCACTGATTTCTCGTAATCATGCATTAATCTCTCGCAACCATAGAGGATCTACAATGTATCACCGCAACGCTGCTCTTCATATCAAATAGCCTCTTCTACGAGAACCCAGAAGTTCTCTAAAAATCAGTCTCTATATCGCTCTAATACCACTTGTTCCTTAGGCATCTTCATCTTACCTAGTTGACAGGCTCTATCCTACAAACACTAGAATCCTTCTTACTCTAAGCTTGTGTTTTCTACTCAGACTTTGGTGACTCTTTACCTGATTATAACTTGATAACACTACGAATAGCTCAATACCCCTGTATAGAACTATTCGGGCATCTACCTAGCACCGTTCCTTCATACCCTCAAAAAGGGCTTAGCCCGTATAAGGCCTTTAGGCGACGGTACAGTTAAGAGAGAGAAGGTTGACGTTGGAAGCATAGCGACCTAAGGCAAGTATAACCAGAATCGTTCTAACATAACGACGACTAGTCGTCCGTAACACGTATTAGGGCGCTAAGCCCATAAAAGCAAGACTAACTCGAAAAGGTAACTCTCATATGTGCCGTTTTCAGGAAAAAATGTCATGCACAAGTTCGTTACACGCTAATGTCTCAGCGTCTCATTGATGCATGTACAAAAGTCGGATCTTAACGCATTAGCCGTCCAAAGGAAGGAATGGTCGCCCACTCCATTTAGCAAATATAAAGAAAGAGCAATCGCACTCTAAATTATACAGCCGATGGGTATGATACAGTACTCATTTTATCCGAGATAAACGGAAGGATATCGCACTGTCCGATTTGGCCAGTCAAAACTCACGCACTTTCTTAACGTAAGTACCTAGTGCTATACTCAATGTATGATTTCATAATGCTTCTCAAATCGCAAATATTAGCTAACAGAATAATATGTAACTATCAGCCCACGAGGTAATGAAACACACACAACCAAACGCGGGGTCGCCAAGCCACTTAACAGAAACTAACGCATGCACCCATCTAGACGCGATCATATTATAGGCCAGTCAAGTGCGGTGACGCCTCCCTGAGTAAGAGAAGGGATATGATAGGCTCGCCTGTAGCATATCAGCCTGAGTTATCGCCGAAAGGGAGGGCTGAGTCTGCTCCTGATTCCTTTGGGCGACGGTAGAGTGGAGATATTCAGAACCTGGGGGTAGATTCTTCAGCCGAGGGTGGATCTGTCGCTTTGTATACTTTGATATACATGTCAACAAGTACTAAGTACTTTGAAGGGTCCATTTGGGCATTCATACAGTACTTTTTTGGAATGTCACATTTACACTTTGCCGCCCGGTTTTATTGTCACTTTCGTACACCCCCTGGATAGACTAGGTCATAGCATCGCATGATAGCCAATCCTTATTGCCTTAATGGCAAGCTAGGCCATGTTTTAGTCCAGAATGACCTTCATAATTGTAAAACAATTGTCTCGAGTCTATCATGTCATTTAGTCATCATGACTGTGTCCTCAGACATCATGGCCGTTGTGAGACACGATCCGCCGAGCGATGTAATTATGACCAAGACATAGATAACCCTCGGATTCGAATAGAGAGGAGATGACACAAAATATTAATGAGAGCCCAATCTCCTACGCTAGGTACTGGCTGTCTACTTACGGTATTGGTAGTCGTAAGATAATGATTGTGGTAATATTCATAGGAGGGTAAAGTAGCCCTAAAAGCAAAAACACCAAGCCTGTTGCCATTCTATGGCGACTTTCAATATGGCCGACCGAACAAAAGAAAGAAGAGGCACAGCCTAACTGAGGAAGGTTCTCGAGTCACGAACCCCGACCAGACACGGCTGGTCGAGATGAGTCCATGTTGACAGGTGAACAAGGGGGTATGTATCTGAAGGGTAGAAGATTTGGATGCGGCTGCTGAGACAGTATCAAGCGCTGAGAGGTAATGATATCTTCATCATTACCGAGCAACCCGTTTCAGGTATCGCATCGTGAGATACACAGCGGCCATGGATGTGTACAGGCCGCCACCAGCAGTGACCCAAACGGGACGGTGGACGCTGAATGAGGTGCGAAGTAAGTTGCTCTCCTTGGGTGGTCTCTCGCCTGTTACACATATCAGTTCTGGTAGATCATCAAGGGGAAGGTGGATGAGCCGGTCGGAAGACGCGAAGGAAGAACATACCCTGCTGGAACAGACGTTGACGGAGGTTGTTGAGACCCTGCCTCGAGCGGGCAGGGAGCATCTGGAGCTGAGCCAGGATAGGGCCGACTGGTGCTGACATCTTGGCTGTGTGTTGTGAGATGAGTAGCTGATGAAGAGTTTTAAGTTGATGATACAAGTTGGTGTGGTTTGATGGAGGGGAGAGTTTCTTCAAGGAGCAGACAAAGTACTCAGGTAAGGAGGACAAGTACAAGAGTACTTATATAGGTAAACATCATCTGACAGAATGCGGGGTTGGGAGTCAGTTTGGACTGAATGAACAGTGACATCTGGACATCCCTGCACGGTGGCAAGCCAATAGAGTATGCTGTGATGCGTCAGGCAATTGCCAGAGTTTCAGCTTCCGTGACCCCTTGGTCCAGTATAGCCTGGACTGAATGTCGTGGCTATGATCTATATCGCTGCCTGGTTCCATAGATGCAGAGCTGTCAAAATCGAGGTACACTACTAACTACAGAAGTAACCTTTGAAAGGATATGAGGAGAGACGATGAGCATGGATGATGATGGCAACCTCATATATGATAGTGGATAGTGACAGTGGAGGCAGTGCCAGTCGATCCTTTCCGGCTAGCCCTCTCCCCACATTGTCGCTGGGCGCATCGAGGTCGCCTGGGGTGGCCCTGACAGATGATAATTGGTCAGGTTTTGCGTCACGGATAGACCAGAAGTACTGGAAGACACGTCTACGCAAGCCTTTTAGGTACCCATGTACCGGGGACTACCCAAGACCGGTGTACATCGTAACACACACAAATAGGGGGCCATAGTGGAATGATGTCTCTGCCATAGGCTACTTCCCCTGAATGACCCAGGAACAGTCCTAGCTCAAATCATTATTATAACATTAACAGTACTCTCTACACTATTCATGCCTGTAGTTAACACACTCTTAGGGCAAACTGACAACAGTGGAATGTTGTGGAGTTCGGGCTCCACACCAAATCTGGGGTTTTTGCGGGGTAGTGGGACTGTAAGCTTAGATCGACTTGGTCCGATTCAGGTGGCAAATCTGGCAATATTTCAGCAGACGGTCGAGAAGTGCTTACAAATGTTGGCTGGGGTTATTGAATCGCAAACATCGAATGTATTCAAGTGTGCCTTTCCAGGACGCAAATCATCCGGCAAATGGGTTCTTGAATATGCACCTAAAGGATTCCGCGGTGCGCACCGCGGAAGGCATCTTTACAATATGATCGGCGGTAACGTGAAGGAGGTGGACTTCTTGCACATGAAAGCAATGGATAAAGAGATAGAATCATCAGAAGACATGGTGGTCCTTTTACTTGCCGAACAAAGATCGCGGGGTGTGTGATGTGAGTTTGTACGTCCCCAGGCAAGAATCGACCGTCCTCAATGAAGCCTTGGATAATCTTCCATGGACATTTCTGTCATGGTCGATCCATCGAGGGCTTCGTGATATCCTGGTTTCTTTTGCATGGGAAAGGATGGACCGCTACCGAAGCCATTTGGCAGAGACACTTCGCCTTGCGGTAGCAAAATTGCCAGAAAGATTGGACGCCAAGGGATGGAACCCGCAATTTGTTAAGGAATATATGGCCGACATGGCAGAAAGCGCTGTTATGGCCGACTAGGGGAATTCAGGAGATGCCGTCAGAACCGTGACTGAAATAGCAGCGATTTTGTTGGGCGGTACAGTACAATGAGACGAAGTTTTGGAGGCATGCGACTCCCACACCTTGTGCTCCAGCCCTTGACCCGATGACCGTCATAGCTCTTGTCAAATGCTTCGTCTTAGAGTGGAGTGTTGACTTGGACTACCAGATGTACCATAATTTCCCTTTAGAGATGTACCTAGGATGAGATTGCAAGGCAAAATATCGGCGGAAAGAGTACCTTAATCGACATCTGAATCATCATAATGGGGAAAGCAATCTTGCCTGTCCTTATTGTGAGAGCGTCCTGACCAGGAAGAAGTCACACGCCGGTGAGTTAGTAGTTGGGTGGGTGACCACCAGCAAATCCTTACTGTTGTATGTTTTGTTTTTTTGTCTATTGTCTGTCTGTCTTTTTCTTCTTCATAAGCAATCAGACCTAAGCGAAATCAGCATGTATGGCAGCTTATACTATTGGCGAAGATTCAAATCGTTCTTAAAAAAGTAGTTAGACTTCCAAAATCTTTAACAGCTAAAGGTTGACCAGCCCAGCAACTTCACAGCCACTGAAGCATCAATCCCATTGCGACAGTTGGGAGTCATTTCAAGCACCGCTGACTAGATCTTCGAAATCGTCCGTCAACGCCATCCTTCAGTCTTCCTGCGGCTGATACGGCTCGAAAGGCTCAATCTCAAGTACCGCAGCCTGGTACTGTGCCAGCGAAACGCCGAAGATGGAGCGCCACTCATCGGCTGTAAGATATCTCACATCATCCCATCCCACTTCTTCTTTCAAGTCCAGCATAGCAAGTCTTCTCGCAGCCTCGGTCACGCCCCCGCTGCGTCGAATAATCGTTTCGCAACCGGAGGGGCCGAACTCTGGTTTGGATTCCATGTTTTCTATGAGAAACAGGATACCTGGCTCCGTTATGAAGGCTGGTCGATCAAGAATGACTGCAAACTGTGTGCATGTGTAGTTGGGAACTATGCCAACGTTGCTATGCTGCAAAGGGACGAGTCGCTCCTGCTTTGAACCATCCTTTGCATTGTATATCGCACCAACGGGGAGGTTATTGGGGTTGGGGGATGACAAAACGGATGCCAGACTTGGGCCTGAGATTCGGAACTCGAGTCTTATCCGCGCGGAACCAATTTTGGCCAAGATGTGTGTTGTGAAGATATAGGCTGTACGCTCTAGAAGACTGAGGTCGTCTGTGTTTTCCGCGAGGAATGGAACATGAATGACATATTGAAGATCACTCTCTTCAGTATCCGTAAAGTTTGTAACAGTGAGTGTTTTTTCATCACTACCTAAGCCCCATTTGAGAGATAGATCTTCGGATTCGTGATTCGGCGTAGGTTGTTGCTCAAGGATTTCCTTGACCTCTTGAGAATCCCAGGCCGTTTTCTCTGGAGGTGGCACGTCGGCATCGTAGTCAATTTTCCACTCTCCATCAGGCGTTATATAGGATGCAGCGCTTCTCCACATGCCGTATGCCCATTGATTAATAGCGGATTGATTCTTTGGTGCATTCGCCTTCATCTCAATAGCCTCAGAGACCACTTCATTCCCGAATTCAACAAAGTCTGCTATATCCCCGTAAATGTTTGGGACACGATATTCTAATTCGACTCTTCGCACCTCAGTCGGAAATCTCCGACTAAAATCAATTGCGAAAGGGGCAGTTCCAAGTTCGTTCCCATCCTCTCGACGGTAACCAGCGAGATAGCTATCCGAGGTCAAGAAGATACAGGAACCAGTTGGTTCAAGAATCTGGGAGCCCCTACTTGCTGAATTTTTAGCAATCAAAGGAGGTTGAGAGTTAGACTGCTCATCAGAAGCCGCGTGTAGTCTCTTACGGTAAGCGATCTCACGTCGTTGATGCTCGACGCATGAAAATGCGTTAGGCTGAGTACTGGTGTAGATCTCTAGGAATGGGTCTAGTTCCGTGATACCAAAGAGATACGCAACAATCGAGTCATAATTCTCAGGCTGTATGGGGACCTTGGTATAGACCTGCAATCTGTACTGATAGTATCCTTCCGGCTTATTGAATTCACGAACTCCAGATAGTTTGCCAAGGATGACGGGGTTACCCTCGTGGTCCAGGTACTGCCGCTGATGCCATGCGGGGCGTTCATCATCACACCGGGCGGTCTGTGCTGTTCTTGCCATCCGGAACTGTTTACGGATTGTCAGTGAGAGATTTGTCTATGAAACTTGCCCAAGCCCTCGGGGGGTGGGGGGCGCGGCGGGAGGTGTCTGCTTACTAAATGCCCGCCAAATTCAGGGGCGGTTCACAAGCGATCGCACACCTAACCGATGTCTCCAACGGCCCCCTATTGTGGCCCCCGGCGGAAAGTGGTATATAATTTCATTGGCTCGGATAATTGTATATTTACCAATGACTTATGTGCTAAGAATAAAAAGGGAACAGACCGATCGTCTACCCTGTATCTACCAAGTTTATATTAACTCCGCGAGGGGCTCGACAAACCTGCCGAGCATCCTCAGGCATGGTCGTCCAAATGACTTGGCGGACCTCACTGCCGACCTGCTCGACTGCATCCATGGCCCAGAGAACGTCAAGATGCTCATACTCGTCAATAACTTTAGAGTGAACGAGACGGACGTGAGGCTCGCGGCCACTTTGAAACCGGTTCAGAAGCCGGCGGCCATCAACAAGAGCATCAGAGCCACCGATCCAAAATGCGAACGGGGGTGTCCGCGGACCGAACCAAGGGCTAGGAGTTGGAGTTCCCAAGCATGCATCCTCGGGATCATCGCCATGCTCAGAGACAGGATCACCACACATGGTATTATTCACATCGGTCTCGCGTAGTAGATCCTCGTCTGTGGATAAAATGCACTTGTGCTTGGCGAAGCTTTCGCTTCCGAGCCACCATCTCATTGACTCGGCGCTGACATACACAGGTGCAAATTGGAACATTCTGTGACGGAGATCACGCTCCCAGCGCGTGTCTGACCAGTCAAAAAGGAACGAAAACACCCAGTATGCCATGGTTCCATATATTTTAGGTGGCACGAGACGTCGGGCGGTCATCATCAAAGGGATGAAGGAGTGGATGCCGAAAACGAATCGGAACATGGTCGGAGAGAGGATACTCATGAAGCGGAAGTACGGTCTGCGCACGAGCGGGCCAGCATATGCAGCCGGAGCAAGCGCACAGAAAACTGAAATGCGTTCACCTAGCTCAGGGCGCTGCTCCTTGGCCAAGGCGACGAATGTTTGCGTGGTTCCCTGCGAGTGGCACACAAGACCTAGCTTTTCAAATCCAGTCTCATATAAAACACGAGAAGTGAGGGCTGTAAGGTCCAGCGTCCCGAGTTGTCTAATGTCCCAGGACCACATTCGCGGATCAGCAGTCGAAAGTGTCTTATGCTCCGGGTTTGAGCCACAGCGATTGTTGCCCAACCAAACATCATATCCGGACTTGCAAAGATAAAATGCCAAACTATCCTCATCATTCGTGCAAAAAGCACCAGCGCTTTGAAGTAAGCCATGAACCAAAAGAATGGGATACCGCCGGTTAGACTGTGGACGAGTGGTATGCGGTGTTTTGGGCTTGGTGAACACAGCAGGCCCACGCTCACACCTTTCCTCTGCCGATAGCGCCTGATAATCTTGCGGGTCATACACGTGCCACAACTCGATTATGAAGCCGTCCTCGGTCTGAACACGGAATTTTTCCACGTCAAGACCTACGCGTCGTGCATAGTATGCCACATCACAGACAACGGGGTCCTTTCCTCCTTCTAGCGAAGATTGTCCAGGTGCCTGTTCTTCATCCGTGTCCCTCTTCTGTTTGTGCAGATGCCATCGTCGATCGGCCTCCTTCCGTGCTATACGTCGTGCTTGTTCTTCAGTGTAGAATGCTCTATGCATAGCCGGGTTTTGTCCGCTAAGTCGTAAACGAGCTTCCGATAGTGCGATTACGCCTGTGCGAAACAACGCCCCGACAAATATGACTGTCAAGAAGCAAAGCGAAAGAATGAACGAGGCCGCCATGAACACATAGTTCCGGACTCTGCCCAGCCCAGATGGGGCGTCATAAGAGGGCAAAGGCGGGAAAAGTGGGTGCTCGCACGCCTCGGTCAAGAACTGCAAGCCGGATGAAGGTTGCTTTTCGACACCTGATGTCCGCTCGCTCCGCGCACTGTTCATGTTCGATACAACATGTATGTGTTCGGCCTCTGTCCCGATATCTGCTTTTCGTTCGAGGTAAGGCGAGGGGGACTTGAATTCTTGAATAGACGCGTCGGCGTGACAGGAGGAATGGTCACCTGTTTTCACATGTGCGGTGTGGAGGGGTTCGAGCGGAATTGTGACCGACATGGTCGCCTAGTTAGATCTTCAGCCCGAATCCAAACGGGGCATGTTGGTGCCAAATTTGGGTTTCGGTAAGTGTCAATCGCGACAGAGAGCTGTACAGTCAAATCATATATGCACCCGGGGATGCTCCTGCCAAGCCGAGTCACGTGCTTCAGGGACCAGCATGTGTCTGCGGGTCTGTTTGGCCAATAAGAGACTCGATGTATATAAATAGAACTAAGGGGACTTCGACGCATTTACACATATCAAAGCCAAAGACTATGACAGAAACACAATTGGGGCTTGGAGATACCAGCAAGAAGGGGCCCTTAAATTATGAGCATCTTCAATCACTTCCAACGACACACTGAAGAAGTTCAAGGGTCAATTTGCCACCCTGTGGCTGGTACCTGGCGAACACACTTCTGTCTCTGATTCCCCGTGTGATGATCAGCAGTAAGTCGCAGCACCAACAGAGGAAATTTATCTTTTGTTGTGATCGAGTGAATGAGGGGTGCGGGGGAACAAATATAATTATTGGTCGAACAAGACTCCGCACTTAGATCGGTATAGATACGAGCCTTCTTTTCCTTTCCCACTCGGGGAAACATTCTCTCCAGGGGAAAACATTCTCTTTGAAGAAGCATGTAGCACGCAATTTTCAACTGATTCGTGAGAATGCCCTGTATAGTGGATATCGGACACCCATCCGACATATTCCCCACCGACGGATGATGCACCGGGGGCTTTTTCTCCTCATCGGGGTAAAGCATGCAGGACCTCGCCATCATCCAGTAATGCGCCCGGGTGCTTTCCCAGTAAATGGAGTGCTTATAATAATTAATGGGGGCTCGTACTGTTCCCAATATCGTTTTCATCTATCACAAAAATACACCAAAAGTGAGTACCTAAGCCCAATGGTTCTTCTAACGGAAAATGGTAAGAATACGAACCGTTGAGAGTCACTAACACTTGAGTTCACTCGCCAAAGTGTCTAGCAACCTCATTCCCCTTACAGTCATCAAGGGTGCCGGCCACGAGTTTATCCCCCTCCCCCAGGGTGAGAACGCAATCACGGCCGATTTCCACTCTATCCGCACCAAGACCACCGACTCTCCTTCATACTTTACCTCTGGATTTTACAAGATCGAGGCGGGGCCTGAACGACCCGCACACTACAACTTCGAAGAAACCAAGTACGTTCTGAGTGGTCAGATTGATATTTTGGTAAGTCCTCTTTATCTACATAGAAATTGTCTTCTCCATCCTTGGGACGTCGAAACATACATGGACTTCACTGATCATGGCGGGTCTATTTTTACAGGACGAGGCTACTGGCGTCACCCATCACCTAGTCCCAGGGGACTTTGCTTTCTTTCACGTCGGATCCAAGGTGAAGGTTTGTCATGACACTTATAGTCCAAATGCTGCGAGCAATGAATTGACATGTTTCCATTATAGTTCTCCACAAAGTCTCAAGGCCTTGCCTTCTACGCCGTTACTCGCCCCATTCGCAACCCTCATCCCAACCTTGAAGGCCGTGAGGAGAAGAAGGCCCGCCTTTAGAAAGGAAAATGAACACAACAAAATTCTTCATCTACATATACTATGAAGAAATGAATAGATGATCTGGGGAATTTGGAATTGCGATCCTTGCCCGATATTACTCCAGTTACATGGGATACCAAATTATCTCATATCTGAACGCCCACAAACAGCTTTTTGGTCGTTCGTCACTTGCGCTAGAAAAACAGTTCGTCAGAATCAGATCAAGCAATAACTATTCGTGACAAGAGTATTGATTCATGACTCATTGGACTGTATAATTCGAAAGTACATCAAATATATCTGTACGCGGGAAAAATGATAACTTTTGCATCGCCTCGGTACCCTCCATCATGACATCGACTCAAACCGTCTTCTTAATCCTGCGATCAACCTTAATCCGCACAAATGCTGCCAAAATAGTCGCAGCCGTGGCCATAGAACCAGCATAAAAGATAGCCGGTCTATAAGCTCCAATACCACCAGCCTGACCACCAGAAGCATTCAAAATGTAACCAGCAATAGGCGCGCCAAGCAAGTAACCGCCAAGCCACCCGCTAACAATCATACCCACAGCAACGGACATCCGCGCCGAGCCAAACACGTTCCCAACAACGGTAGGCATAGTCGAAAAGAAACCCCCATTTGCAGACCCATTGATGATCGTGAACGCAATCAAAGGCCCAATAGAAGTAGAAACAGGCCACAGCACAAAGATACTCAAAGCACTGAGCAGCAACGACAAGAAAAGCGTGTTCAGTGATCCCAACCGATCACACGCAAATCCACACGAAAGACGTCCAATCGCAGACGAAAAGTTAAACGCCGCCACGAGACCTGCTCCAGCGCTGGATCGCAAGCCAAGCGAGTTGGTATACAATGGCAAAAAGAAAGCTGGCACGAAGAGCGGGAATGTACCGATGACACCGACAGCGAAAAGAACTGCAAAGCGCACATCCTTGAACAGACTCCATTCGACCATCTTCGCTGGTTTGATTGGTGAGCGTTCTTTGATGAACCAGGCGGCCGGTAGCCCTGTTGCCATGATAAGGATCCCAAGGATCCGGAACGTCCAGGCTATGCCGACGCTCTGGAGGAGTGCGTCGAGGATGAAACTGATGACTGTGCCGCCCAGTCCGCCGCCCGCGTAGACAATTCCGTTTGCGATGCCGCGCTTTGCTTTGAAGTATTGAGCTGGCGTGACGGAAACGACCTATTTTGTAACGTCCAGTTAACATATCAGCTTCTCGGCTGAGGTTGGAGTGATATACTAACCATGAAGCACAGGCTAGTCCCAAGACCACCAACAAACCCCCAAGTCATAAAAAGTCCAGGAACACTATGTGTAGCAAATCCACTAAGAATACTGCCAAGACCGAGCAAGAAAATACCAAGCATGGCAGTCGTCCGAGCTCCAATCAATCCAATCAGCCTCGCATTAGGAACAGCAAGGAGAGAGATACAAGCCGGACACAGCGATCCAACAAAAGCCAACGTCGAAGAGGAATATCCCTCTTTGTCAACCAGTTCTGCTTGCATCACACCCCATGTATACGAGGCACCGACGAACCACCACGTCACAACGGCACATGCACCGATGAGAATCCAGCCATAGCCTCCATCCGGGACTTGTGAATCTGCAATGAGAGATTGCTGCATAATCTCATCGACTTCTAGGGCGGTAGAGGAATTCAGATTTCGTTGTCTTTCTTCTCCGGTATTTTGTCCCAGGCTTGGGAGTTCGATTGCCGTCGTGGGCATTGTATGTGTAGCTGTGGCCATGTCGCCAACCAACCGGAGGTTTTGCTGGATGTGGTATGTATTCTTGCAATATAATTTTGATCAGATAAGAAGCTAGCTGCACAAATTCTAAATTGAGTGCAGAATTGACTCAGAGCTTCCAAAGAAGCGTTTCACGTGACTGGCGTCGTAGACCGCGGATAACCGGGGTGGGGTGGAGTGGAGCGGGATATGGATGACGCCGGAATTGGGCGGCGGGCTCCGCTATCGGCTTTATTTACTTCGCTGCTTACTTGCAAGGTTGAGCATCCTAAACTCAATGTTCAATGATCTTAACTGGTTTACAGTAGATGTATGATAAAGTTCAAACCAATGGCCGACTCAAAGCGAATATTCGAAAGCGTCCTGTTGGTCCATACAAAGGCTTTCTGAAGGTGCTTGGCAAACAACTAGTGTGTCGCGATGATTTATACATAGAATTTAAGCACCTGTGAAATCGGCCCCGAAAATTGGCCCGTTTATGACGGGGGAAAGGCCGCCTTTCCACTGATAACTTTATACTGCAAACCGCCACTTGATCGCATGGCCTCAACTGCTCTTTGCAGTAACAAATCTCCGTCCCGCTGCCTGTCCACATCTTATCTACGGCTATATAAACAGCGAGCTTTGATCCAGGTTGAACTGGACTATGATATACATACCATAATCACAATATCAGCCCTCCTATTCTGGTAGTATTTTTGTTCGATACCCTAGGTATCACACTAAGACTGCTAGCCCCGATATTTCCAGTGGATCAAGCTGAGACATTAAGAGTGGTTACACGTATATATCACTGGATAGTTTACTGCGATTAGCTCGTGCTATACTTTTCTAGTTGCATCATGAAACTCACAATCTTTTTGAGTTAGTTTCATCGGTGCCCCCAATATTCTCTTGCCCTATCTATTTTCAAGTGGAGCTTTAACGGCCTACCAATAACTAAAAGTGAGACTGGGAGCTCAGAGAACTAGGAGCTTGTTAGGGTGAGCCATAAGGAATTCTTCACCTCGCAACACACAGCCGTTGATGGGAAGATCCTGAGTTCCGGCGCGCTGGTCGAGATGCGACCGCGCGATGCAATGGGGATAGCAAACTATGTTAACATCGGCAATGTTACGATTGCGGAGATGTCAGTCCATTTAACACTGTCAAGAAGCGTTTCGTGCGGGATCGGGATATCTCGGTCTTTCGGGTTCGAGTGGCTACAGGGGTAGACCTCAGCTTGGTATGTCAAACATTTAAGAGGTCTGAGAGGCATAAGTGATAGTTAATGGTAACAGGTCGTCCTGATGTCAATGATTCGAGCGGAGATGGCGCATGTCTGGCAGAAATAAGCCGGGGGGTTGCGTTTGGAACTATTTTTTCCGATTAGAGTATAAGGTTAGAATAAGGAAGTTCCGTTCACGTAGGGTGCTCTAGAAGGAAATGTGTATCATTGTGACACGTTGGACGAAAGCTGATACATGTATATAGGAGGATAAGGAAATAATGTTGCCCATATTTTGGAGAAATATACTACAAAAGGCTTCATCAGCTCTCGAAGATGTCGCTGATAACTATCTCTATATCATGTGGCTAATCAAAAAGGCACGCCCAAGGGGTCGTCTTGGTGCTATTTTATTTAGATAATCCTATTGACTCTCGTGATGGTAGTTCTATAGAGGGCTGTGGTTATGTTTGTATGGGAGTTTCGTGTG